TGCTGGATGTTAACATCAATGTAAAGGTCAAAAGTAACCTTGTCATGACTTTGTGATTTCGCCGGTATTTAAAATATTCGTGGTTTAATGAAAATTTTTGAATTTTTTTTATTTTACCCGCTAAATATTATCCGATGGTAGGCTTCTTCCATGCCCTAAACTCTAGCTACATGTGAAATTCCGCGTCGATTGTTCTATGATTGCGACCTGTATAGCTACTGCAAAATCCGACATTTTTCAGTATTTGGTCCATTTCAACCCCTAAACATTTGACGATCATCTCCAAAAGAAATAGGCTTCTATTCTGACCCTAACCCCATCTTCGTGCAAAATTTCGTAAGGATCGGGCCATAATTGCGACCTGTAGAGTGATTACAAATTAACATGGACAGACGGACGGACGGACATACATATAGATCGACTCAGCTTGGCGAGCTAGGAAGATCCATATATACTTTCCTATATGGGAAACCAATATTTTGAGGTGTTACATAAATTCTGGCCCAATCAAACTTATAATACCCCCAACACATAGTGTTGTAGGGTATAAAAACATTAAGTTCGACCGAGCCAAACTTTTAATACCCTCCACCTTAGGGTAAAAGAAACATTAGAAGAAATGTGGCAAAAACCATCAAAATACCGTATATCGGAAGGTAACATTATATGGAGGCTATATCAAATCATGGACCCATGCATGCAATGTTTCGCCACCGGAGCTGGAACCCATTATGACCAACAAATATCAATTTTCAGACAAATCCGTGAAAAAATGTGGCAAAAATCATCAAATTACCGAATATCGGGAGGTACCGTTATATGGGTGCTATACCAAAACGTGGACCTATAATTACAATGTTTCGCCACACGAACTAGGACCCATTATGACCTACAAAAACCAATTTTTAATCAAATCAGTGAAAAAATGTGGGAAAAACCATCAAAATACCGAATATCGAGATGTACCGTTATATGGGGGCTATACCAAATCGTGGACCCATACATGCAATGTTTCGCTACCGGAGCTGGAGCCCATTATGACCAGCAAATACCAGTTTTTAGACAAATCCCTGAAAAAAATGTGGCAAAAAAAAAACTAAAATACCGAATATCGGGAGGTGGACCTATACATGCAATGTTTTGCCACATGTTCAGGGACCCGTTATGACCTACAAATACCAATTTCCAGACAAATCCGTGAACAAATGTGTCAAAAATAATCAAAATACCGAATATCGGGAGGTACCTTTATATGGGGCCTATACAAGAACGTCGACCGATATATCTCATTTTCAATACCAACCATCCTAGACACAATACAAATTACTCTGCTAAATTTTGGCGCTCTACGTCAAATAATGTGGGCTGTATCGTGATTTCAACAGACAGACAGACGGACACCATTAAATCGACTTAGAATTTTATGCTGATTATGAATATATATACTTTATGGGGTCGACGACGAATATTTAAGGATGTTACAAACGGAATGACAAAGTTAATATACCCAAGGTGGAAGGTATAAAAATAGTTTATTTGTTGGTGAGTCAGGTGAGTGTGTTATAGTGTCTATTTGGCTTTCTTTTCACTGAAATTTCCCGATCATTAACGTCGACTCGAAAAGGAAAATAAACAAAACGAAATCATAAACATACGATTTTAACATAACATAACATTTCTGTACAGTGCATGATATGACTTCGATAAGAATTATATTATATAAATTATAGTAAAATTCGCTTGAATTTAAAAAAAATCTATTCAATTTGGGATGATATTTATATGGTGGACAATAATCGTAAAACCGTATGAAGATGTATATCGAATGTATAGAAAAATCAGAACTGATCTTGATTAAATTTGATAGAGGTATTTCTAGGCTGTATTTCATATCTGGTACAAAAGATCATTCTTGTAGAGTGCATATTACGCATGTGAGGCACTTACAACTTCATATCGGATGAAACATATATATATCGGAGCTATAGCTGTATATGACCCGATTTTCACCAATTTTAATGTACTTGCTACTAGACTGAATTCAGTCGGAAGAGCCAAAACCTAGGACTTTGTACAGATATTGGCCATTTGGAATACAATTAATACAAAATCTGTTGAAGATATATATGGGATACAAATTAGAACCGATCTTTATACAATTTGACAGAGATATTTCTGGGCAATATCTGATATCTGATACCAAACATCATTCTTGTGTGGTACATATTACGCATAAGGGTGACTTAAACACCAAATCGGATGAAACCTATGCATGGGAGCTATAGCTATATCTGAATAGACTTTTTCCGAATTCGATATACTTTTTATACCCTACACCACAAGTTGGCCAGGGTATTATGTCTTTGTGCATTTGTTTGTAACAGGCAAAAGGAAACGAGATGGACCCATAGTTGATCCTTTTGATGATCTGCAAAGAATTACTTTCTGAGTTGATTTATGCATGTCAGTCCGTCTGTCCATGTATTCTTGTGAACAAAATGCAGGTCGCATTTATTATTCGATTGAGATGAAATTTTCCAAACAACATTTGTTTGGCCCTATTGAAATTGGAGATAATCGGTAAAAATTTAGATATAGCTCCCATATATATCTTCGTCCGATTTGCCTTTTATTGTGCACCAAACGTGTAATATCAGCCCGAATAATATGGAATTTTGCACATACAACCAAATTAGGCATGAAAAAAAGGATGCCAAATTTGATCGAAATCGGTTCAGATATAGCTATAGCTCCCATATATATTGTTCATTCGATTTGTTATTTTTGTCCTCCGCAGCCGTAATATGCACTCTGTAACAACAATATTTGGGGAAATATATCAAATGTAACTCAGAAATACCTTTGCTAAATTTTATCGAGATCGGTTCAGATCTGGATATAGCACCCATATATAAATTCGTCCGATTTACCTTTTATTGTGCACCAAACGTCTAATATTTGTCCAAATGGGATGGAATTTGGCACATACGACCGAATTGAGTAGTATGCCAAATTTGGTGAAGATCGTTTCAGATATAGCTATAGATCCCATATATATTTTTCATCCGATTTGTTGTATTCGATATTCAGGGAAATATATGAAATACAGCTCAGAAATATCTTTGCCAAATTTTATCGAGATCGGTTCAGATTTGGATATAGTTCCCATATATATCTTTATCTGATTTCAAATTAATTATGCATCATATGGGCAATACAAATCCGAATTTAAAAGATACAAATGCTTCGGCATATTTAGTCTTTTGAATTTTAAATCATAATTATAATCATAGAGTGTATAATTGAATTCTCCCATAAAAACTTTTAATTGTTATGTGGAGCTCAACTAAATTAGCAAAGTGGTGTAGGGTATCATAAAATCGGCCACGCCCGACTTTAGGACTTTCTTTACTGGTTTTAGATTGAATTCGGTCGGGTATGCCAAAATTCAGGACTTTTGTACTGATATTGGCCAATTGTGCACCAATCCATAATTGGTTGAAGATATATATGGGAGCTATATGCAAAGGACAGAGGTATTTCTAGGCTGTATTTGATACGCATGTGAGGGACATAAAGTCGGACATATGTATTGGAGCTATAGCTATATCTGGACAGTTTTCCACTAATGTACTTGATGTAATTGCTACTTGACTGAATTCCGTTAGAAGTGCCAAAATTTAGTTCATTTGAGCTGATATCAGCCATTTAGTGCACATTAAACCTGAAATCGGATAAATATATGTATGGAATCTAGATTCAAATTTGAACCGATCTAGAAAAAATTTAGGCATTTATTTCGGAGCAGTATAAGATATTTGGTACCAAAGATCATTGTTGTGGAGCGAAAACATATATATGGGAGCCAAAGCTATATCTTAACCGATTTTGACCAAATTTTATGTACTTGCCACTTCATTTGGAAGTGGCGAAATTCAGTTCGTTTGGGTTATTAGCCATTTGGTGCACAATTAATCCGAAATCGGTTGAAGATGTATATGGGAGCTATATCTGAATTTGAACCGATTCCCACCAATTTCAATAGAATTTGTACTTGGGCCAGCCAAATGATTTGTGGAAAATTTAATTTCAATCGGATAATAAATGCGACCTGCATTTTGTTCACAAAAGTACATGGTAAGACGGACGGACAGAAGGACTGAAGATCCTCAAAAGTAGCTATGGGTCTATCTCGTTTTCTTCTCCATGTTACAAACAAATGCACAAGAACATAATATCCTTACCACAACGAGGTTTAGGGTATAAAAACTAAAAAGTTTAGACCTACAGAAACTAGGCAAAACCCATTCAAATTCAGTGGCCGCAATACTAAAACCAAGGAGTTGTTATTGATCCAATTAACTCTGAGGATTATGCAAATCAACTCTTAGGATTACATAGGCTATAGTCCCACATAGCGCAGCAGGTCTCAAGAAAAAATTTCGTTTAATGGTGCCTGGTTGTCATCCATATGTATTCGATGGATTAGATTTCAATGACGTTTTTTAGTGCCAATAATTGACGATGATCTTTTTTGCTCGTCTAAGTTTGACAGCACCAACAAACAACCTACCTCACCAGAATTCAAAAATTTGTCACATGGCAATTCTGCCACTCTGGGTTATCAATAGTTGTGTTCCAGTACTTTTTTAGTAGTAACCCAGCGGATTTTTTAGCACATACATCTTCCATCTGAGACCAATGACAATGTAGGTGCGACCCATCCAAAGCCTGTATACAATTTCTACTTACATTTACACAGCGATGGCCTAGGCCGTCAGACGAGTCCGAAATCTACCGACAATGTAAGCGAATGTTGGATGGGTCCAAAATCGACCGACAACGTAAGCGAATGTTGGATGGGTCCGAAATCTATCAACATTGTAAGCGAAGGTTGGATGGGTCCAATTCCATCAACATTTTAGATTCCATCGAAATTTTAGGAACTTAAATTTCAGCTGTTTTTTATTAAAATATTCGTAATATAGAACAGAACAATAAAATATTCTTATTATAATGAGAAATAATGCATAAAAAAGTAATTCATAAAACTTATTCAAAAGACGTGGGAAGAAACAAAGCTTAAACTAAAGGAAAAAATTGAGTCTTTCCAGTTTTTTAATTGTAGGATATTGTTCGGAAGTGTATGACCTTAGGGAATTTGAAACAATTTCTAATTTTTTTGGCGTAATCCTGTTCATTGAATCCTTCACATGTGACAGCTTCTGAAATAAGGATAGAAAATATAGAACAATTTTTTAATATTAAACAGTTATACTATAGAATAGACTAATGGATTACATTTTAAGGTAATATAATATCACTTTTCAATAAATATGTAAGAAAAAATTTAACTTACCGAAAATGGCCATGTTTAAAAGTTTAAATTCCTTAAACGCCTTTTTATTTTGGGTACCATCATAGTTGTAAGGTAATATTATAGAAATGTCAATAATATTGCAGAAGTTTTTAATAAGGCCATCTAGCGAAATTATAATTTTTATTATACTAACCTGAAGGAAATTAAATTATTAATGGATTATAACGGAGAGATTTTAATATTCTTACATATTTTCCAAAATCTTCTACAATTTTGGAATGCATGAAATCTGCTCATTTAGTACAATATCATTGTTTTCCAAACAGTCCGTCCTCAAGTGTGCATTTCTTTTTTAAATTGTCTGCTTCCACTTTCTTTAATCTCTTAAATTTTTCCTACTGAATCCTAACATTTTATTTAACTTATTTAACACACAACACTTACTATATTCTTATTTTATTAATTTATTTTATTTTATTAACTTTTTTCAATATACACAACTTGCAATTTCAAAATCATTTTATAGAATAAAATTTTGCTTTAAAAAAGAAAGAAGCATCAAAAATGAATAACGGTGTTGTTGCACACAAAAAAACTTTACAAAACAATACAAAGGCATCCGATTCAGATGCAAGTGCGATGGACACATTTTATTATATTTTGTTTTGTTCTTTAATTCTAATATGGATTTTGTTCCACAATGTAATAGCAATGCGACTCATCCAAATCGGATGCTAGTTGTATGCTATAAACCATTTTTATTTCATTTTTTCCTATTGACAAAGTAGCATACAATTGGATGGGTATTAAATTGTAATGGCAAGCGGACTGCTGGGAAAACTAGCAGAAGAGAGAACAGTTCGAAATGTCATTCTCATTTAGGTTTGCTCAAAAAATAAAGGAACGGAAAATTAGCAGAAATGCGATAAAATGTCAAAATTCAAAATTCCAAAAGTAAACAGCATAAATCGGACTGGTGAAACCTTACTGAAAAGAGCGCCAACATTTAAAAAATGAGTATTGAAGACGATAAGTTAAAATTAATAATTTATAATAATAATTAATAATCTGATTCCTCATTCAGCCAGTCCTCTTCACTGCTGGAATCATCCAAAAGGGAATACATCAGTTGCTCCATATTTTCTCTTTTTGTTTTTTTGCACGACAAATATTAGTTTTTCCTTTAGTTTTCAAGTTGATCATTTTCTTTATTGAAATGTATCAATACATTTTTCAACCTTGTTAGCCCTGCCAATTAAATGTCAAATTTACAATATGCACATTTCTGCTCGGCCAAATTCATGTAGCTAAAACAAGCAGAAATGTGCACCAATCAGCGCCATTTTTTTCTCGAGAGAGCTGCAAGTTTTGCTAGTTTTTGGAGTACGGGAACGCGTTGTAGCAGAATTAGTGCTAATTAGTACTAATTTGCAGGTTCTGGAACACAACTAATATAATCACCGCGAAGTTTCAAAAAGCCTTTTATTTTGTCATTCTGTTAAAAAATAGAAAACGAAGATCAACTTATATATAATTTTAAACGCATCTGGATATCTGTTTCTTGTGAAAATTCCTGCAGTATCCTACAAAAGGACCATCAAATTGAGTTCCCAGAATAAAAGAACTGCGAACCGCATCACTCACAAATTTATGCATGAATATTTAATGGATGATATGCAAATATTTACACAATGCACTTTAATTAGCCAATATATATTTCATGGAATCCAAAGGTGAATAAACAACACTTTATTTAATTAAATCTCCTGGAAAATAAAATAATTCAATAAAAAACTACGTCCGCATTGGACAGGTGTGACACTAACGAAAAGGAAAAAAGGAAAAAGAAGAATAAAAAAATAAATAAACAGAATTCTTTTAAAGTAACAGGAAGTGGAAACATTTTCCTTCAAAATCCAAGATTTACGGGTGAGACGGACCTTTAAAATATATTCCTAAAATCTGCCTGTTTATGTTTTTTATACCCTCCACCATCGTCATTTCGTTTGTAACTCATCGAAATCATAATTTTAAACCAAACAAAGTATATATATTCTTGATCAGCGTAGAAATCTAAGACGATTTAACCCTGTCTATCTGTCCTTACATTGTTATCTCGCTTTAGTCAATGCGAATTAAGATTGGAAGCTAAAATTTTGCACAAAACTGTATTTTGTCTGCAGGCAGGTCAAGTTCTATATTGGTCCACGATATCGTATAGCCTCCATATAACGGTACTCCCGATATTCGGCATTTTAAAGATTTTAGCCACATTTTTCAATGGAATTGTCTGAAATTTTACACTAACAGTTTTTTTATGAGTACTTTACCGTCTGGAAGAGAATTGTCTATCTATAGGATCACGACATCGTATTTTCCCCATGGAACCTCCCGATATTCGGTATTTTGATAATTTTATCCATATTTTTATACCCTACAACATTATGTGTTGGGGGTATTATAAGTTTGATTGAGCCAAAAATTATGTAACACCTCGAAATATTGGTTTCCCATATAGGAAAGTATATACGGATCTTCCTATCTCGCCGAGCTGAGTCGATCTAGCTATGTATGTCCGTCCGTCCACCTGTCCGTCTGTCCATGTTAATTTGTAATCACTCTACAGGTCGCAATTATGGCCCGATCTTCACGAAACTGAAAATGGAGGTGGGGATAAGGTCAGAATAGAACCCTATTTTTTTTGGAGATGATAGCATAATATTTAGGGGTTGAAATGGACCAAAAACTGAAAAATTTCCTGATTTTGAAGTTGCTCTACAAATCGCAATTATAGACCAATCGACGCGGAATTTAGCATGGGGCTAGAGCTTAGGGTGGGAAGAATTCTTCCAATTTTGACGGTCATCGGGTAATATTTAGTGGGTGAAATAGACCATAACATTTGTGTTAAATAAAAGTCAAATTTTCCATAAACCGCGAATATTTTTAGTCGTGGCGAAATCTCAAACAGACGAACAGGTCAATTCTGACCGTTACAGATGCCGATTGTAAATATATCGGATATATAGCCAAATATATACAATGTATATACACCAAGGAGGGGGATGTTAGCTAGAATTCTTATATCTCAAGAATGGCTGGACCGAATTTGACAAATTTTGTCAATTCAGAATGCCCTCTTGCATAAAAGTATAAAATCTAAAAAAAAATCGCATAAAAGATTACAAAAACAAGTACGCAGAGGCTACAGACGAGCGGGGCCGACCGTTGAATACCCTACAACACTATAATAAACGATACAGTTTACATAGGCGAGATACTCGAAAGAATTCCACAAGATATTGTGACAAATAATAAAAGAAAACCATCAGGTTTCGTTCTCTAATTTTCGAATAATAGCAACTTAAACTAGTTTGCTCATTTCCACTTTATTGGTTGCACTTAAATGGTCTTCTTAGATCTGGATCCAATATTTCCCAAAGACCTATAATCTCTCAGAAATGGCAAAAGATTAACATTTATTATTGGTTTTTGACTGAATCGCGTCTATATGAGATACAGACATTTGACTATACTCATTAAAGAAATTAGCGTTAACTAAATAGTCAGAAGTGCGTCTGCCCTGTATTTGTGAATTCTCCCAAAAGTCACTGGAATGGACATTTTCGTATTTTGTCTACAAAAGTTGGCAAACTCCTTCACACATTGAATATTTTTGGAGGGCCATCCAAAACTGCTTGGCTTTTGCAATGTCCGGTAACCCCCATTCAAATGTGCGTGAGGATCGGGCGATAATTACGACCTGCTGATAATTTTTCAGTTTTTTGGTCCATTTCAACCCCTAAATATATGGCGATCATCTCCAAAAAGAGTAGGCTTCTATTCTGACCCTACTTTTATCCCCATGCAAAATTTTGAAAAGATCGGGCCATAAATGCGATCTGTATATGATATCCTAATATCCTAACTACTTAGTTTTGTTAGCTGTAGAAATATTACCAAATGTTTAATTCAAAATGAAAATATGCCAAAAATATGACAAAATTGAAAAAATATGAGAAAATTTTACAAAATCAATATTTTCATCTTTAGAGAGATATTTTTATGCGATTTTTTAGACGTTTTTTTTTTTTTCCTGCCAATAGGCCATTCTGAATTAATGAGAACTGTTTAAATCAGTTCAGCCGTTCTCGACATATAAGAGATCTTTCAAGCATATCTTCTTTGATAGACATATATATATCGCACATATTTTGCTATATATCGATTTGTTCGATGTTAATATCAATGTAACCTTGCCATGGGTTTGTGATTTCGCCGGTATTTAAAATATTCGCGGTTTAATGAAAAAATTTGAATTTTTCAACACAAAAAATATGGTCTATTTTACCCGCTAAATATTATCCGATGACCACCCAAATTGGTAGGCTTCTTCCCCGCCCTAAACTCTAGCTACATGTGAAATTCCGCGTCGATTGTTCTATGATTGCGACCTGTATAGCTACTGCAAAATCCGACATTTTTTCGGTATTTGGTCCATTTCAACCCCTCAACATTTGGCGATCATCTTCAAAATAAATAGGCTTCTGTTCTGACCCTAACCCCACCTTCGTGCAAAATTTCGTTAGGATCGGGCCAAAATTGCGACCTGTAGAGTGATTACAAATTAACATGGACAGACGGACGGACGGACATACATAGCTAGATCGACTCAGCTCGGCGAGCTAGGAAGATCCATATATACTTTCCTATGTGGGAAAACAACATTTCGAGGTGTTACATAAATTCTGGCCCAATCAAACTTATAATACTCCCAACACATAGTGTTGTAGGGTATAATTATGTTAATATAGATTTTGTAGTATTTTGTGACATTTTTTTCATATTTTTTATCGCATGCGATTTTTTTAATTTGACTTATAATATTGAAGTGTACATTTTGTAATATTTTTTCACCTAACAACACAGGTTGGGGTTATTATGTGCAGATTGCAATTATCATCCGATTCTCAAGAAAATTTTCACAAGGGAAGGGTTAGGGCTAGGCATATTGTTTTCAATGATGTCCTCAATAAATTTAGGGGATGAAATGGACCAACAACTAGAAATGTTCCCGATTTGGCAGCCGCTATAAAGGTCACAACTAGAAACCAAGGACACAAAATCTCGCATGAAGTTGGAGTTGAGGATAGCGGCTAGAATGGATCACTACTTTTGTGTGAAGAAATATCAACATTTCCATTCTACCGAAACGCTGAAAATAACTTACAGGCGAAATCCAAAATACACAAAAAGGCGAACTTCTGGCTTTTTATGCCGATTTCGTTGACGAATCATATAGATGAGTCTAAATTTAGAGATACAGTGGGGCCTCTTGCTTTTGTAGATGATCGAAAAATATTTAGGTGTTCAAATGAACCAAAAACAGAAAAACATTTAAGCAAATGGAAGAATTCTAGAATTTCGAATGATCATTAGATTATATTTAGCTGCAAATATACTACCGCAGCAGCTAACAGCACGACGGAGTACGTAAATATTGGGCTAAT